ATATCGACCAACGGACATCATATTTTTAAAGTTTATTTTGAGTGCAAAACGTATATAACATGAGAATGAATAATTGTTTTGTTAAATATGATAATGCGTAAATGTGCAATAATTTTATGCAAAATGCTAATTAAAGAGACAAATGCACCATTTTTGGGCGTTGATTTGAGCCTTGAATATATGCAAATAGTCTTCAAAAGTACTAGAAATGTACGAAAATCGCATAATTTCTTCAAAAATATCTCAAACTAGGAGTTTCTTTTCCGATTTTTATGGATGTCTTTTCTATATTATATTGCAGTGTCTCAAAAAAAGACGACTCGTCTTTAAACTTCCAAACGCAAATAATTTTTGAACACATGGATTTCGACAGTGAGCTGTGAACACTATTACTGATTGGCATAGCTTAAAAATGGCCGTTTCTGAGAAGTGTGATTTGTCAAAAAATGGCGCATCTGTCCCTTTAAATTTGATATATTGTGCCCAGAATTCTGTATATATTTCTATGTAATACACCCACACAGTTTCACTGTCTGTCTATAAGCTGCACTATTTGTCTGACATTTTTTTTTCATTTTTTGTTCATTTTTTGTTCGTTGGGTCTGCAATTTAATGATGACAATCGATTTTTGTCATAATCGAACACTTTTCGGCCAATCATCGTTATCTGATGGTGATTTTCACCTAAGCGCCAGGCAAATATGCTTACCCTTCTAGACACCTGATAACACTTTTTTACTATGAAATAGTTACTCACTTATGATTTTACACTTCCTCGTGTGAAAAGTTCATCAGCTGGTTCAAATGTTTTTCCATTATGTTTTTTTGTATTTCGCTTTGCCGTTCGGATCGTTAGTACTTGGTTTATTCATGGCATGAAAGAGCGAGGCTGAGAATTGACAGAATGTTTTCAGTTTTGATGAGTATATTTGACTCAAAGTAGAGTGATCCCTGTCAATTTGTGTGGTGGTTCAATGTTGCTAGTGCTGAACTGAACTACACAGAAATGTCATAAGTGTAGGATAGCTTGTGCTGACAAGATGGGCTTTCGTTTTGAGTTAATCATCATTTGGGCGTATTCCACTTTTTGCACATCATAAATTTCAAATAGTTGAAACTCGGCTATTCCGACTATGGTATAGAAAATTCATTTCAGCTCCAACGAACTTCCTCTTCGACATGGTTGGAGAAAAGTTTTCTTCATAACCAACAACGATGGCATGCACCACCAACCAGGAGGGAGAAAGGTTTTCGTGTCAGTTTCTCAGATCTCCATCACTAACAAGATAGGAGAAGGGTTTTCATGTCAGCTTCTCCCACCTTCATCACTAACAAGGTAGGAGAAGGGTTTTCATGTTATCTTCTCCCACCTTCATCACCAACAAGGTAGGAGAAGGGTTTTCATGTTAGCTTCTCCCACCTTCATCACCAACAAGGTAGGAGAAGGGTTTTCTTGTTAGCTTCTCCCACCTTCATCACCAACAAGGTAGGAGAAGGGTTTTCATGTTAGCTTCTCCCACCTTCATCACCAACAAGGTAGGAGAAGGGTTTTCATGTTAGCTTCTCCCACCTTCATCACTAACAAGATAGGAGAAGGGTTTTCGTGTCAGCTTCTCACACCTTCATCACCAACAAGGTAGGAGAAGGGTTTCATATAAGCTTCCCTGACCTTCATCAACAACAAGGTAGGAGAAGGGTTTTCATGTAAGCTTAATCGAATTTCATCACTAACAAGATAGGAGAAGGGTTTTCATGTCAGCTTCTCCGACCTTCGTCACCAACAAGGTAGAAGAAGGGTTTTGATGTAAGCTTCCCCGACTTTCATCATTAACAAGGTAGGAGAAGGGACTTCATGTTAGCTTCTCCGACCTTCGTCACCAACAAGGTAGGAGAGGGGTTTTCATGTAAGCTTCCCCGACTTTCATCATTAACAAGGTAGGAGAAGGGTCTTCATGTTAGCTTTTCCGACCTTCGTCACCAACAAGGTAGGAGAAGGGACTTCATGTTAGCTTCTCCGACCTTCGTCACCAACAAGGTAGGAGAAGGGTTTTCATGTTAGCTTGCCGGACCTTCGTCACCAACAAGGTAGGAGAAGGGTTTTCATGTAAGCTTCGCAGACTTTCATCACCAACAATTTGGAGAAAGGTTTCAGGTCAGATTTTCGGACCTTTATCATTTACAAGGTTGAGAAATGGTTTCAGATCAGATTTTCGGACCTTTATCACTTACAAGGTTGGGAAATGGTTTCAGGTCAGATTTTCTGACTTTTATCAATGACAAGGTTTGATAAGAGTTTTCATGTCAGATTTTCCGACCTTCATCACCAACAAGGTTTGATAAGAGTTTTCATGTCAGATTTTCCGACCTTCATTACCAACAAAGTTTGATAAGAGTTTTCATGTCAGCTTTTCCGATCTTCATCACCAACAAGGTTGGAGAAGAGTTTTCATGTCAGATTTTCCGACCTTCATCACCAACAAGGTTTGATAAGAGTTTTCATGTCAGATTCTCCGACCTTCATCACCAACAAGGTTTGATAAAGAGTTTCCATGTCAGCTTTTCCGATCTTCATCACCAACAAGGCTGGAGAAGAGTTTTCATGTCAGATTACTCCGACTTTTATCACCAACAAGGTTTGATAAGAGTTTTCATGTCAGATTTTCCGACCTTCATCACCAACAAGGCTGGAGAAGAGTTTTCATGTCAGATTACTCCGACTTTTATCACCAACAAGGTTTGATAAGAGTTTTCATGTCAGATTTTCCGACCTTCATCACCAACAAGGTTTGATAAGAGTTTTTATGTCAGATTCTCCGACCTTCCTCACTTACAAAGTTGGGGAATGTTTTCATATAATTGTCAGCTTCCCTGTAAGGGTCGAGATGATACCTTTGGATTTTTCAACCCGGTTTCCCCTTGCCAGTGATGGAGGTCGGAGGGTTTGACATTTAGTCGGATGGGACAATAAACCGAGACCTCACCTTATATAACTGTTTCCACAAATCTTGTTGAAATTTTCCTTTATATTACATAAAAGTCTGACAAATACTAACTATCTAATCAAAAATTTATATACGAAAACCATGAAATTATATGACTGCTCTGCCACTAGAAATGACTATTTTCACACTTACAACAAACAGACATCTCATTCTTTTCTATTCTTTTTTTTAGATTTTGCAGTCCTATAATTGTTACATTTGGATTTTGATGTCTGAAATTATCATTTCTTTCAGAGTGAGTTTTTTTTATCTGATATTAACATGGATTAGCTCCCTTGAATAAGGCAATTGAATTGTTCTTCCTCGCTGCTTCTTAACCGAGGTCCATGTTCATCCAGGGATGAATTTAAAAACAGCAGGAGTTATATATGGAAGGTGGGGGAATTATACATTATACAAGGGAAGATTTTTGAATGGGAGGGGCATTTGCGAGAATTTTCTCCAGTTGTATGAATGTGCCCTTATGATTGACAATGTAATGGTCTTTTCATTTCCGAATCAATAAGCAACAGCCAGATCACGGGCGAGCTGTACGATCTCCATGTATCCAACCCACAACTTGGAAGTATCGCAGGAACTGGACAGTTTGTCAAATAGCTGTTTTATCAAAGGCTTTATTTCACTCTTGCTGTATATCGAACGGTGATATGTATGTAATATACGCACTGTATACAGTTTATACATCGTAACTAGTCAAACATGTTTGCCTGAATTCCCCTATGTTTATTACCAGGCTTTATTAGTTTAAATTTACTCTATCGACTCTGTATCAGATCAATTTTTTCGGCTAAATTTAGTCTTGTGCGGCATGTCCAATCCTCGTATTGTTTTTTAAACCTTCACAGACCTAGTATTTTGTGGATATCTAAACCTGTTTTCTTGTGATTAGTTCTATCGTGATCAGTCTATCTATACAATGGATGATTTTTTATCACACATATTTGGTCAGATATGTTCTATTTATGACTTGCTGGAATATGGATAGCCACTTTTAGAATTTAATTTCAATCGACTCCATTATAACGTTCTTTGATTTAAGTAAAGGAGGTTACTCAATACTTCATCACTGAAATTGGAATTTAGGAGTGTCCCCTTCCCAGTTTGCCAGTAAATTATCCCCTTCTCCGTTTGGTCCCTTTCCCATTTCCCTTTTGAATTTCTACGTATATATACTGAGTGTTAAATATCAAATGTCTGCATTTACAAACTTTCGTGGTACAAGAAATGTGGCTAATGATGCCAAGGTATTAAGCACAGTTCGTAATAACTTCTCACGATGGTCTTCCAACTGTTTAAACAATGTCATATTGATAGACTATTATCTTACACTGGTGTTTATCATATTAATGCGTATGTTCGCAGGTGATCAATCAACTATGTATTCATATGGTATAGGTCAAGACATTTTTTTCCCTTCCCCGGTGTTATGTCAGTGATACAATTCAGAGGGACTGAACGAAATTGGTATTGTTTTTGATTGAACCACAACCAAGGTCCCGTGTGGACTGTCTTTGCACGACGACAAAGTTGGATAATACCACTTTCATGCCCCCCCCCCCCTCCCCCGATTATATTACCTCCCCACCCCCTCCCCCATTCAAATCTGTCTACGGACATGTGTCCTACATTGCACAAACAAAGCAAACGACACAGGATGGATTAAACGAGATTAATTAAATTATTATCAAATCAGATTCAATATATAGTGTACTTTTCAAATTCCCATCAAGGATTAACGTGATTTTAAGCCAATGCATTTTGATCCCAATGAACTTATAATAACAAGGTTGACTACTTTTCTCACATTATATTTACCGTGTGTCAAAAGCTGGGACTGTCTGAGAAAAGAAGGATTGAATACCTACCCATGTATAACGACTTCAACGAGCACCATACAATTATACCGTATTGTAACTGAAAACCCTTCATTACCTATACCTTACATAAATACCTGAGGTATTTCACAACTTATGATCAATTGACCTTAAAAACAAATATAAACAGCACAAATAGCAGTAGATGACTTAAGCTCTCTGATAACGTTTGAATAAATATGGAGGTTTTCAAGGTTTTCATAAGGTAAGAACGGGTATTACATTTTATTTAGCTACATGTTTTCTGCTGTAAGTTTGGTTGGTTGATGGTTGGTACGATGTCCCAGATTAATGGCGTTAATGATATAAGATTTATTGCATATTATACACCCTTTATTGGCAGCATACAAATATAAAAACAGCACAATAAGATAAAAAAAATAAAATAAAAGGAATATAGATATAATATACAATAAAAAAACATTTTAACTGTTTTTTGGGGTTTTTTTTGTCGTGAACAATTTTTCTTCATATACACATCAAATTAATTAGGGGACAGTCTTCGTCTACATTGTAGAGCGATAGAGAAATATAACTATTTCTATATTTTTATATGGATCATATATAGATATAATAGATATTTGGTACAAAACATAGAGAACTAAGTACATAGATCAAGGTCATTTTTTAGGCTACAAAACACAAAACAAGAAATATCTGAAGCTATAAAAGATTGCGGATCTGTTTAAAGGATACATAGAAATTTGTACAATAAGAAAGAAACAGGTTTTTTTTTTTGGAGTTTGTAGTGTTTAGCTCTGAAACAAAATCAAATTTGCTTTAATAAGTTTTAAAATGGTTTGGACATGGTACTTGGTAAACTTTGGTCAAGTAATTTACGAAAAAAAGCTAATTAGTCATATGGTGGAAGGCAGTTGTTGCCTAATCAAAATTTATCCCATGTATTTTATTATTGCGAAAGATTTAATAAGAAAAAGTTCAGGGATATTTGAATAAAATTAGGCTTGGTTTGGTATTTCCCGGATATTACAGAATAAAAATACCTCTTATAATGGACATAAAATTAAAAGTCTCAAATTTGGCCAACACGTGTAAAATATACACTGGTATTAAATAATATAATACCCTGGTGCCATGACTAAAGAATAGAATCTCTTTGTCTATATAAGACGATACATCCATCAAACTAAGTAATTAACTAATTACGCTTCCGAGCTTGTTTGAAAATTACTGATTTAATGGATTATTACTTAGTTTCATAGATTTATTGGATTATAGAGGGATTCTGTTGTATAGTTTTGATATCAGGCAAGTCCACTGATGAACAAAAACTCATTTTGGCCAAGTTTTAAAATTTCATTTTTTGGTAGTATAACTTTAATGCTTATTTCAAAGACACTCTTTCTTTGAGTTGGTTTTTAAATGCAATGAACGTTTTGGTCAATTTTACGAGAAGAGGATCTTGGGATTGTAGGTAATGTTGTTGTGTAATCGAAATTTATACGACGTACTTTGTTATTGTGAAAGGTTTAAAAGAATTTACAAAATAAAATCCTTTTCATCCAATCAGCAAGGCTAAATCTTTTATTAAGTGGAAAATTACTAGGTGAGAATTTTACTATCACATGACATTGTATTTGAGAGCTTACGTTAGGTTTTAACGGGGTATTCGACTTTTTGTGAAAAGTTTTCATTATTAAAAACGTCATAAATTATACTTGAAAATATTTCTAAAGTATGCTATTTATATCTATGTATCTTCTTGATCAAATTGAATTTGCTTTTAAAAGGATTAATTATAAACTGAGAGTACTAATTGTTAATTAAACAGTTTGACCTAGTTTTGGTGTTTAGCTTTATAATGGCTTGATATTAAGTTAAAACCTTTAGAATACGTAGGAGACATATTTCTCTACAATTAGGCGTTTATTTTACTAAAATCCGTATAGTAGATTTCAATCAACTTCCAAAAAGCATAACGAGCGTCAAAACCTTACGTAATGTTTTAAAATATATTTGGTATATATTAAACGGCTGGGTTTTATATTAAAAACTTTCAGATACGTTAAAGGGTACATTTCTCTAAATTTTGGTCTTTTCATATTTGAGCACAAAAAAATCGACCTACAAAAAAGCGGAATGTCCGCATTAGTTTTGATGAAAAATTTCATCGAAAAGGAGCTACTCTGCACCGCAGTGGCGTTTCTATGAAGCATTAAGTGGAGGGTCCGAATCGGGTTTACAGAATTGTCTATAGGGCTCATAGTGCTCAGCATTAAAAACTGCAAGTAGGCAATATCCAATACATTTTCAGGAGCTAAATAACAGAACATATCAGAACATTTAAGATTACGTTATCAATAGTTTTGATGGATTTTCTTTCATTTTCAGCCTTACACTAATATTATGTTTATTGTGTAACTGTGTTCATGGTTACGGTTCATACAGAAGTAAAATACCAAATGGAAATAATGTGCCTCATCCATGTAAAGTAAATTACATTTGGCAGGGTGTGGGACACAGAAAAAAGGAGGGCGCTGGATATAGAAACCCTTTTGGTGAAGATTTTAAAACCGCTGGAAAGGTCAGTTGAAATATAATGGGCGAGTGTTAGGCCTACTTTTGTTTATAATTTGTTCAGTGGCGTATTTAGGGGTTTGGATATTTGGCCATGGCCTCCCCCTGAGGTCTGTAAAACTTATTTTGCTGGGAAAATTAAGCCTCTAAATACTCAAAATTCATCTCGAGACCATCTGAATTTTGTTGGCATTTTGGAGTCCATTGTTAGCCCCAGTAAGGGGATTTGTTCAATGGAAAGGGGAACCGAGTAAAATGGTATGCCTTGACAGCGATACTAAATATTTTTTTTAAAGGAATCTTTCAACTACACAGCTTGTAGCACACACGAACTTAATTTATTGCTCCATCTCCACGCCTTGACAATGTCAACCATTCTTACCTATCACCAAGGCTTTCCAACCTGGTTTAAAAAAATCAGAATGTACAGTCTACCATGTCGTGTTAATGCTACTTTCCTTGCAAATATTGGTAAACTATGGGCATATCTAATGAAACCAGTTAATACACCCTGCTATATATATTCTAGGTATGGACTAAAGAGCTGTGTCAGAAGGATTCTGATGGTGATGGAATGACTAATGGTCAAGAATTAGGAGATCCGTCTTGTAGCTGGACCGTTGGTGATAATCCACCCACGGCTGAAAAAATATCTCACCCAGGTTTGCTTCATTCGTTGCGTACTTATGTTTAATCGTGCTCGCCTGTCTGACAAAAGATTCACATTGTAGCTATGCACACTTCCAGAGAATGGTTTCGATCACAAGTGATAAGTGAGCATTGTACAAGTGAGCGTTGGCCAGTTCCGCTTGCAACATGATTATATTTCAACATAGCCTTTGTCGGGTAGAATTAGGATACCAATAGGACTTGCGGAAAAGATTATCCAACCTGATCATATCACAGAGTGACATAAATGTTCAGGAAGCCGAAGTCTTAGCAGAACTCAATATGGTATACGATTAAAAATGGTTCCCATTAACGTACTGCTTATTTTCCTGTCGTGTGTATTGGATTTTATGGATATAGAGGTTTTTACTTACTGTTATTTCTGTTGATTAATTTTCTAGGCATTTGTGAGCCATGGACAGATCCAAAATGTCAACATCAACTATCTTGGTTAGAATCGGAATGTGAGCCTGATAAATTTGATTGCCCGGCTCTTCAGAGTGACCCTGGTAAGAAATATTAAATTGATTTTGTTTGGGTCCATTCTAAAAGCAATTTCATAATCAAACTATTTGACAGTGGAATCATCACAATCTGTGTGTACTCTAATAGGGAAAATCTTACAGTTATATGCTGGAATTGTGATCTCAAGTAGATCAGTGTCATCCTGACGTCAAGTCGATCTGGTTGAATATAAATAATCGAGGTACCATGTCCTACAGCGAATGATTCCCCTATAGACGGAAATCGAAAAGGTTATTCAGCTGTCCTTGCCATCTTTTTCTCATGCACTTCATTATGTTGCCCTTGTCATTTTTCTAATCCCTGCTTAAATCCCGTATGAAAATTCTTTTGTGATCCCAAAATATTTCGGCAACACTTACATTTAAAATGGCCTTTTTTTTTATTGAAAAGGATCTAATTTGTGCCAAGAAGCCCGAGCGCTGAACCATATTTTTTTTTAAAGATTTAAAGGGACAGCTGTGGCATTTTGGGGGGTTTATTTGGTCTTGAATATATGTAAATAGTCTTCAGAAGTACTAGAAATGTACGGAAATCGCATAATTCCTTTATAAAATACTTCAAACAAGGAATTTTACTCACTATTTCTATATATGTTTTTTCAAAATTTCACACAGTATATGTTCAATTTAACATTCAAACGCGGATAGTTCTAGACACTCATGGATTTGAGGGCTCAAATTTCAACGGTGAGCTGTGAACACTATTACTCATTGGCTTAGCTGAACACTTCCCGTTTCTGAAACTAAAGTATGATTGGTCCAAAAAAATTGCGCCACTGTCAATCGTTAGAAATAAAATCTTCTCTATGTTCCAGATATAAAGAATATGACTTTAAGATTTCCATTGACCGATGTCCCAATACAAGACACATCATATATGTGTACTGAATTCGAAGTGGATTCAAGCGATGACTTTCATTTGATTGCTACCGAGATGTTGGTAAATAACACAAACGTAATGCATCATGCTTTACTCTTTGGATGTTCAAGTGGTAAGTATTTCGGTCGATTTTGATTTTTACCATGTTTTGCCTATATATGTTTGGACACAAAAATGCAGGAACGAAGAATTTTTCGTCAGTGTGAAGGTGTAACGCTAGTAGGTAACTTCACTCGACTCACTGTTTGTGTACATCTACAATATATGTGGTCGAGGTATAACAAGGGGAAGTAAGCGAGTACGACCTATCTGTTCACATACTTTGTTTGTCATGCCTAATGTTAAAGAAAGAACAGCCATGTTTTTAAAACAAGAATAGGAATCTGTTTAAGAGCTTGGTCAAATCTCATGGCACTGGCACCCTGTATAGGTCACTGTTTTTTGCATGCTTATCCAGCTAAGTTTAGAACCCATGACCATTATTTTTTCAACGTAGCCAAGCAATATGTAATGATAGAGTATATTACCACTGCTTACATTGCTATATATCTGACAATGACACTTAGATCAGATCAATCCCGTGACTGGTGTATGTCTAGAGTATGGATAGTAATGTTCCCAAGGACGCTTATCTTGACTCATCTTGTTATCCTGCTCAGCTTATTATGAAATGTGGATGGATACACAAAACTTGTTATCTGTTTTGTAGATAATCACACGCTAAGATCCACACCTCATCAATGTGGTATGGTAGCCAGTAGAGAATGTGGTGAAATAATTGCAATCTGGACAATAGGCTTGTCTGGACAGTGTTTCCATGAAAATGTTGGCTTCAGAATCGGTTCTCAGGGTTTTAAGAGAGTCGCTCTTCAGGTAATATCTAATGTATTTTAAATCCGAATGATCAATATTTAATTGTAGTTATTTCATATTCAAATTTCATTTTACATTATTTCAAATTAATCTGTTTTATTTTGCTATTTCAATTTGAAAAAAATCTTCATTTATCAAAAAGGTAATCAGTAATTATAAGGTTAAAACTCATCTGAATCATGCTAATCATATAGTAATATAAGGTTAAACTCATTTTAATCAGATAGTAATATAAGGTTAAACTCATTTGAACCAGAAAGTAATATTAGGTTAAACTCATTTTAATGATATAGTTATATAAACTCATTTTAATCAGATAGTAATATAAGGTTAAACTCATTTTAATCAGATAGTAATATAAGGCGAAACTCATTTTAATCAGATAGTAATATTAGGTTAAACTCATTTTAATGATATAGTTATATAAACTCATTTTAATCAGATAGTAATATAAGGTTAAACTCATTTTAATCAGATAGTAATATAAGGCGAAACTCATTTTAATCAGATAGTAATATAAGGTGAAACTCGTTTGAATCAGATAGTAATGTAAGATTAAACTCATTTGAATCCGAAAGTAATATTAGGTTAAACTCATTTTAATGGTATAGTTATATAAACTCATTTTAATTAGATAGTAATATAAGGTTAAACTCATTTTAATCAGAGAGTAATATAAGATTAAACTCATTTGAATCCGAAAGTAATATTAGGTTAAACTCATTTTAATGATATAGTTATATAAACTCATTTTAATCAGATAGTAATATAAGGTTAAACTCATTTTAATCAGATAGTAATATAAGGCGAAACTCATTTTAATCAGATAGTAATATAAGGTGAAACTCATTTGAATCAGATAGTAATGTAAACTCATTTTAATCAGATAGTAATAAAAGTTAAACTCATTTGAATCAGATAGTCATATAAGGTTAAATTCATTTTAATCAGATAGTAATATAAGGTGAAACTCATTTGAATCAGATAGTAATGTAAACTCATTTGAATCAGATAGTAATGTAAACTCATTTGAATCAGATAGTAATAAAAAGTTAAACTCATTTGAATCAGATAGTCATATAAGGTTAAACTCAATTTATCAGATAGTAATATAAGGTGAAACTCATTTTAATCAGATAGTAATATTAGGTTAAACTCATTTTAATGATATAGTTATATAAACTCATTTTAATCAGAAAGTAATATTAGGTTAAACTCATTTTAATCAGACAGTAATATAAGAATAAACTCATTTGAATCAGAAAGTAATATTAGATTAAACTCATTTTAATGATATAGTTATATAAACTCATTTTAATCAGAAAGTAATATTAGGTTAAACTCATTTTAATGATATAGTTATATAAACCCATTTTAATCAGATAGTAATATAAGGTTAAACTCATTTTAATCAGACAGTAATATAAGGTTAAACTCATTTTAATCAGATAGTAATATATAACAACTCGTTTCAGTTTCATTGGAATAATCCCACACTGGAAACTAATTACAAAGATCAATCTGGAATGGTGTTATATTATACAAAGAACAAGAGAATGTATGATGCTGGTACTTTCTTAGTTGGTGCCAGTTATCTCGAGATTCCCGGACGAACTGTTTCTCTGGAAGAGACTGCTTTATGTCCAGGAGTCTGCACTTCCAGGTTTATAACCCCTGAAGCTTATATTGTTAGCGCTACCAACCATATGCATTACTTAGGTAAGTATAAGACGCGATGTTGGCATTTAAAAATCGACATTAAATTGAGACTTCACAATATGTTACAGTGTATTAAAGCTGATCCAACTATAACGTCCAACCAAATATTCAAAGATAACCACCAAAAATGGTTCATATAAAAGTAAAAACATATTGACATATCCTGAAATTTTGGTATTTTGTCCACAAAATAATTTGTGATTCAAGGGAAGCCTACTAAAGAATATTGAAGAAAAGGCCTATATCCATCAGTGCATTTACATATGGTGCTGTCTAACAGGCAACGTGAATACTTACCTTATATTTTGCAGGTAGAGTACAACAAATTGAACAGTTTCGAAATGGTACCAAGGTACGAGATTTGACTAACGATCAAAACTACAACTATGATGATCCCAGTCCAATCCAGTAAGTAAATAAATGACATTTTTGGTATTTTGAAAATTTGATAGGGAACCGCAGTGACTCAGTGAGACGCTTGCTCACTAAACTAAAGGTCCAGGGTTCAATCCTGACATAGGTTTCCCCTTGTCGGTGATGCAGGTCAGAGGACCTGACATGGAAAAAGCGTCTATTGTCTCAGCAAAGTAAAAAGATTTTTGAATTTGAAGTTTAATTGAAATTGGAAATCGAAAAAGAGTAGACTAATGCCGCTGTTCTGGCAAATTACATCATTGTACACTGTATAGCGTAGCCCATAGGTGCAGAAAAGTAGGACGTAAAACTCCATTCATTTCAAAACATTTGAAATTTGACGTAAATGGACGCGAAACTAATAATCTACATGTCGATCAGGTAGTTAGTACACGATTTCGTTTAAACTTAGATTATTGTCTTGATTTGTTTTCAGTTATAAAACCCCGATAAAATTACTGCCTGGCGATACCATCAAAACAAGATGCGTATTTAATTCTCAGAATCGAGATCAAGTAACCTACTTTGGAGACGCCACAAGTGATGAAATGTGTTTTGGATTTTTCACCTATTATCCCAAAGAAAATATAAAGATGTCGTCCTGTACATCATGGAAGAGCTTACCCTATTGTGCAGTGTATAGCGGCGAGGAATATTTGGGTTGTAATTTTGTTGAATTCAGTTCGAAGCAAGGTATTAAGATGTTTACGGAGATATGGCAGAACTGTTCTACGGAATGTACCACAGAATGCTTAAGTAAAATAGAACTCTTGATGAACCATGCCTGTATGAAAGGTGATTACTATGATCTCATGAAAACTTCGATGTTGAGGAATAACCCACAAGCAGGAAGTTTTTTTATCATGTTGGAGAACTGCCAGGCATCTATACCGACAAAAGCTACCACTACCGAGAAAGGTGCAAATGAAGCAACCACAATGTTTGTCCATAAGTTTCTCCTTCTTACAACAACTATGGTGATCAGTCTTTGTGGTCGATTTTAATGAATTCTTTATAGGCCTACATTTTATATTATACATACATAACAAGTAACACACTATTTTCTTTACAACTATAACAACATTTCGAATGTTCCTGATAATATTACCTGAAGTGTACTTAACTCATAGTAGAGTATAGTTCTTTTAAAAGGTTTTTTTGTTTTCCCAACAGTTAGAGAACACAGATTAGCAAATCTACATGCGACGTTTTTGTAACATTTTGGTGTTCCATTCCATCTTTATTTGGGTACCATAGAGCAGGGGTTTTCAATCTGGGGGTAATTTTGATAAAAAAAAATAGGGAAAAATGGAGGGGATGGGGCGGGGGGTGCTGGGGGGGGGGGGGGGATTGTAA